TAACCTTATGTACCCAAAGAGATGACCAACAGATAAATTGTTATTTTGATGGTATGTTGCCATCATTTGGATTGCTTAGGATCTGCTTTCTTCTTGCCTGTATTGAATAACTGCAGGTTTCTTTTGTTTTCCTTTTTAAATATGGAGGATTTATTTATCAACATAAAAGCATGTTGCTCCATATTTAACTTGTATCTGAGGTACAACCATTAGACCTTGATATGAGTTTGCCAGAATAGGTATCCAAGGAAAAAAGCTTTTCAAAGGTAGATGTAATTAGTAACTTTATAAAAATCAAAGCATTGTCTTTTTATTGTACATGCTATCCAGTGGGTCAGGCAAGATTTGGTGAACTAAAGTCCTTATGGGATAGGTTTTTTTCTGCTGTTTGCACCTCAAGTGTAGAGAAAGTTGGGTATTTATGAGTGAGTCTTCCCTGTTGTCTGCATGGGCAGTTTCCTTAAAGGTGCAAAGATAAGTACCTTGTGCTTGAAGAGGTGCTCTGTTTCCAGCTTGGTTTTTTTGCTGCTATGTCTGTAGCTGCCCCTGTGCCCTGTGTATGCTTGACTTACTCTGCTCTAAGTGAGGACAGCTCTCAAAGCTGCCTGTGAGGAAGAGAGAGCCTTTCTATCAGTGGGTGCTGGAGTGAAGGCTGCACATGCTGTTGCCAAAAAGCGTGGTTTTCCATGTTTGTGTCTGTAGCTGGAAGTGTTGATGCTTGGCAATCTTGTGGGCAATGTGAGGTTAATAACACTGCTGGATCTTTTTTTGCTTGTCTTACAGAGATGGGTGTTATGCCTGAGATAGCTCAAGCAGTGGAGGAGATGGACTGGCTGTAAGTAGGAGTGTGACAAACGCTAATTTTCCTTTCGTCAATGTATGACATGCTTCTTAAAACTCCTCTGCTGTCACATTAAAGCAAAGTGGATGTGTGTTTTCCTTTAATTGTCTTTGCATATCATATGCTTCCCTGTAGAGAAGAACAAAAACTGTGACTGCAGCAGTAACATTTAAACTTGGACAAGCAGAGTGTGACTCCTTATGCTTCGCTCCGTTTGTTTCACAAAAGGCTCTGTGCTTCTGGTTTATTTATTATGTATCATGGGGTTATTGGATTAAATACTGTCACATAATTGATGCTAGTTTAGTACGTGTTTTCCAGACTGTGGTCTGTGATTGCGTTTTTCAAACGTAATGCTTGTGTGTCAGTCTTCTAAGAAAGTTATTCTTGCGTTTTTCAAACGTAATGCTTGTGTGTCAGTCTTCTAAGAAAGTTATTCTTGCGTTTGGTTACTTGTTTGGTGAAAATATTTTAACTTCAGAGTTTGTTTTGAATTGTCATTCAGAATTTTGTCATTATCAACAAACTTAATGTATGTATTTCTTCTTATATAAATGGTATTAATTAGCTTTGGTTGTCTGAAAATGCTGGTTATGTTTAGTTATTTTTATTTCCATTTCTGGTTTTGAACAAGAATCATGTAAGGGCTGCATAAGTGGCTTTAAAGAAAAACTCAAGAAAGGAGACAAGGAATATATAGTTAATAAGTTTCTTTTATAGTTTAGCATAGTGATGTGAGATGGAGTCTCTTATCAAGGTGCAGTTGAATCTGCTGCAAACCAGGGGGAATAGCAGTTACCTGCTTTATATTGCAGATGACCATGGTTTGTGTGAATATCTATATAAGTAAAAAATTATTTTTCCACTTGCATAGAACATTACCTTGTGTTAATGTGTTCTTTCCTGTAGTCTCCCTACGGATATCCAAGCAGAATCCATCCCGTTGATCTTGGGAGGTGGCGATGTACTGATGGTATGTCTGCAGGATAATCCTATTCATATAAATCCTGTGTATTTTAATCGTTAGTAGTGTGGTCAGTTTTGTTCTTTCCACATGTGTCCATAGTTAGACTAGCTCTCCTGTCCTAATTCAAAAGTATATTCTTCAGGTAAAATCCTCTTTGAGTTCCTGGTGTGTTTCCAGCTGTTCTTGCAGATGAAATCTGGGGGAATTAGGCTTTATTTTTTGACTTATTGACAGGCACTGCCACATGAATGAGGGCTGTCTGATCTCATCTACTCTCCTTTTGGTTGTAAATACGTGACATAGCTCTGCATGGAACATGGTTAATACTACCTAAGCCAATGCTGCAGTATCAACAACCTCAAAAGTATCATATTAGTATGCCCTGTTCATCATGTCTTTTATGGATCTCTGTGCTCTTCATTCCATAAACCAAAATAACACTTCATAAAAAATAAACTTAGTTTATCAAAATAGAATTCTAGAAGAGTCCTTACATTCCTGGTTAAACTCTTGTATTTTTCTTCTATAGGCTGCTGAAACTGGGAGTGGAAA